ATACACTTGAGTAGATCTTCAGGAGGAAAAGAAAAAGCAACACACTCAGGTGAAAAATTCCTTATCTCCAACATTTCAAGAAAATCTTGCTACAATTTTAGCAAACGCAAAATCAATGTCATCTCTGCCTTGATCACCCAAACACTGGCTAAAATCTTCTGCCACAAAACTAAACAGCTAAAAATTAGCATGGGAGGTACAAAACCATTAATGTAAATTAAACTTCAGAATATTTTTATTTCAAGAAACTGAGCATGAGATTCTGCTTGTAACCTTCATATGAAATAGCACTGCTAGCACTGTGGAAGATGTTTGATTTTAAATGTATGCACTTATGTACAAAATAAGGCTTGCAATTACAAACTTTGTATTTTACCTCCAAGATAACTGCACTTTTTTTTTTTTTTTTTTTTTTTTAAATTAACCGCACTAAACAGTTACAAAAAAAAGAGTCATACAAAAAGATAAATAATGTTCTTCCTCCTCTCCTCCTATCTTCCTCTGCTCCAAAGCACTGCTTAAATGAGAAAAAATTTCCCTGCACTACCTCGAATATCTGTCCTTGCTGCTGGCAGGTAAGATTACAGTCATGCTTTTTTCACTTTAACCAGCTGATTCTGCACTTCTTCACTTCCCTTTCTTTAATATAAAAGGCACATTTTGGAAGGCACCACACCTTTGTTTTGCTCCAGACTTAAAAGCTTAGACTAGTTCTCTCATCTTTACCATGATTTCAAAGCGATTTTGTTAAATACCCAGTAAAACATTTCTGAAGGTGTCCTGTTACTTTCTTACTTTGCTAACAAGAAGACAACCCTAATTATTCCTCCACAGGTTTTACAGAAGTCAGCACTCAACAATAAATGTTGCAAGAAAGGATTTCCTGAGATACAGGGAGATTCTTCAGCTATCACGTAATACTTTTCCTAGCTTTCCACTTTGCCATGGAAGCATGAATAATTATTATTTAAAATGGAATAAACACAGTTAAAGAAGAGACAACCCAACACAAAAAGCTTATTTATAAATTCAGGTTGGCATTCACTCTCAAACTACGTCCATAACTCAGCAAGGAACACCACCCTGCTATGACAACAATTCATCAGCTTTTTCATAGTGCATTCTCCCTGCTATGAAAAAAGAAATCTCAGACTTTAGCTCTCTCACTAGGCTTGCACCTCAACTTTTTCACAACCCCTCAATCATAACACTTCAACAAATATTTATACCAACAAATGAGTGTAACAGTGATCATAGGGGTACGTATGTTTTCTTAAAGGACAAGCTAATGCCATTTGAACATTAAGATCTCCAAAAGCCACTGAAAAGCTTCCATTGATGACAATTTATGAAAGTCTGCCTGAAACAAAGATGAGTATGTGCTTCGCCCTGCTGGGAAGTGTCCTTGTCTGAAACCTTGTTCTACCGCAAATGCTCTGCTGTGCTATCATGGCTTGTTCTGAGAGCTGAGCACGTTGGATACAGCAAAGCAGCATATTCACATTCATTTTTCTAGCAAATTTGCCTCCCTAAAATCTGTTACTGCCAAGTTTGGGCACAGACTTTTTTAAAAAATATTTGGACTAATGGCAAGTGATTTCAGCAGAAACTCTTCCCAGGTATTTTGAGCTAAACTGCAAATGTAATTAGAAAGTGGAGGGGAAAAAAAAAAAGAAAAGGGAGGGGGGGGCTTGCAAAAAAACAAACAACCTTTTTTCCTGTGCTGACGGTGCCATAAAGCCCGACTACAGATACTGCAACCATTTCAAAGGCAGGAAAGGCTGAGGCCTTCACTGTGGTGTCCACTGGCTTTGAAGTGCCGAAAGCAGCTGCTCCCAGCAGATAGGAACTGTGGTGCTGTTGGAGTTATTTTTTTTCTTCAAAATATACTTTCAAATCTAACAGCTGCAAGTAGAACAAAGTTGAGCTAAAGTATATTTAAAGAAAAAAAAAAAAGCCACCAGTTTCTCCCTAAGAGTGTTCTCAGTGGATACTTCAAAAGAAAGTGGCACTGAATCAGATGAAGCTGGAACCAAGACCGATATGTGACAGCTGAAACCAAATACTGCAAGATCCCCAAATTTCTTCTTTGCTTTTTAGATTTCAAAGAATTTGAAAAGTTAACAAAATATTAATTTCCATGGTTTCTTTTTTCGAGGAAAATTAGAAATGTGAAGGTTTCATACATTTATATATATACGTATGTATCAATATTCTCACCTGTAATCTCTTTGAAATCAATATTCAAGAAGATTGCAGCGAAGCACTGATAACCATACATGTAAAACAGATGGATAAAACCACAACCCTCAAGTTCTCATACTTTCAGTTTTTCAGTTTGGAGAATAGGTTCATTTGGTTTTTGTTATCAACATGATTAAATTTACGGACAACTGAGTTGTCCAGTAGGCTGACAGTGCTTCCTCTGCAACTCACCATGCCAAGCTGTCCAAAATAAATCTGAAGCTCAATTTTCCTTCTGTATATAAATCCAATTTTATGATTATTCAGATACTTGAGGCAGAACATCTCAATGCAATTGCTGCTTTCTCAGGTAGCCGAAGTATCCCATTTGTAGCTGGGTGCCTATTTCCTGACTGGAAGTCTGCTAGAGCCCTGCTGAAGCACACCACTAATTCTAATTTACTGCTCAATTTAAATAGTCTAAATCAGTCTATTCCTTTACAATTAACATCTGAAGAAGTATGCAGTAAAACAAGGCAAGGAAAAGTCTGCTTTAAAGATTTTGTAGAAGTCCTGAAGCATAAATGGAGAGAAATAGAAGTTGGAACTACTGAAGGGAAATTTTTAAGAGTGGAAGAACTGAGCTCATACTGTTCTGTGGCTGCACTGAAGGAGCCTTATACTGCAGAAATGACAATACAAAAGAAGGCAGTTTACAATGATAATGCATTACAATCTGCAGGAAGGGTCACACATTTCTCAGGCTTGCAGTCTTTCAATGAACATTCTAAATGAAGTATGATCAGAAATAATAAGAAAAAAATAGGGCATAAGCAGGATTCCTGTGAGAATTCTTCTGGGGCTCTCGTTATTCAGCTGTTTAGTGTTGAAACCCTTTCCTTGTGTTTCTGTGATATTTCATAAAGTCTCTCTGTTTTCTTAGACTAAAAAGTAGCTATCCTAAATTAAATCAAATTGAAGTAGCAACAAACTCCTTTCAGTGGAAAATGCTTTCACTGATGTTTATCACAGTATCACTATTGTTACAGAACAACAATATAAAATGATTCAAACAAATTTGAACTAACACATTCATTTCTTGGCTTTTTTTTTGTTTTGTTTTGTTTTAACAATCCTTTTAATCCAGTGTCTGGAAGCTCTGAACAAGAGGCATGAAGACACAAGAAAACAAATAAACCAAACCACGACACTACTAGGCTTTGTCATTTTCCTTTAGTGCACAAAACCAGTAAGAAGTGCTTGGGAGAAGACCGTATCTATGGTATCTCTTATCATGCACACCGAAAGAAAAAAAAAAAAAACATTTGTAGGTAGGAACAGGAATGTTGTAACATGCTATGAACTGCAAACCAGTGGTTATTACTACAGATCATGTTCCTAAACACAGGAAGAAAATCTTTGAATAAATGCTTACTTGCAACTCTTTAAAAGAGTACCACAAATTATAAGAACTGTAGAGAATAAGGTGATCCAACCAAAACACTGAAGTGATGCCAACATGAGATTCCATAAAAACGTCCACTTTAAGGCAGACGCCCACCTAACCCCAACATTTCCCTTTGTCTTACTGTTCTTTTGGCAAGTGGTCTCATCTGCAACACAACACCCATGAACATACACACATGCCTCCCAACAGCTCTGTGAGCTGGGCTATTCCTGAATCATTAAGTAGAAGAACTATAAGTATTATCATCCAGTAAAACAAAGAACCTGTGCAGATGTATTTGCTACACTGGACGATGTCTCACCCTTCATCAGGTGAAAACAATTAGTGATGTTGACAATTGTGAGTGAGGGTTAGGAAATGCTTGGATCTGAACCAACCAACTCTCTTCAATTAAATTTGAGAGCCACGGAGAAAATATTGTTCCTCACAAACAATGGTGAAGCTCTCTCTCAGCACCTTCCAAAGTGATCCCATTTCTTCATTACTTGAAAAAGTCCCTGCTGGATGGACCACAGCAGGAGTTGCACCATAAGCTGACAGCAATATTTCATTCTCCCACCAGCACGGAAGGTAAACTTGGTGAGGAAATGAAGCCACATTTCCCTAGTGGAAATGTAAACTTACACCCACACAAAAACATTGATAAGAGATAACTTTAAGCTTATGGACTAACTATATCATTGCTATACCACTGTATGGTTGGCCTTAAAGTAATCATAAAAATTTTCAATCCCTTAACAGGTGTTACCAAACAGACAGCACTTTGACTAGCTACCACTTGGAACACTTGTTTTAGCTCTCAAGCTTGTAACATGCAATAATTTGTCTGCTTCTCTTTGTTTTTTGTTTTGTTTTTTTTTTCCCCCCTTTACACTTCACAATACTACTGGACCCAAGCTTCTTGTTTCCACCCAAATATTTCCTGAACATTTCACAACCCTGAAATTATACTATAATAAATAAAATCCCTACCAGTAGGCCAAAACAAGCATTTATGTGAACACTCCCCATGTAAAAAAATGATAAAAAGAATAAAGCATTGATCCTTGGCAAAAAGAAAGAGAGATAACATTAAATAATTTCATCTGGTCATTATGAAAATAGGTGTTGCCACCTGTAAGCCTGGGAAACTATTTGCAAGAGGCAGATGTACAAAGGATAGCAAAGGGGAAACAAAAATATTTTCTATTTGGACTCTCTCTCCTCCATCCCCCAACCCGTCAATTCTGCATATCTATAGAATGTCAATAGGAAGAACAGCAACACACAGCGAGATCAGGATTTAGCCACAGGAGCTGACCTACATCTGTCCCTCCTCCCCTGCACCTGGAGGTTCACGCTTACTGACCTGTTGCTCATATCTTTGCTTGAGCTCTTCCAATTGCCAGGAGAATTCTTCGGATTGCTTTTCCCGGAGCGATTTTGATCTGCTTAGATCTGCTTCAACCTTTTCCATCTACATGGTAAAAGAAAGAGAATATTTAATTTTTTTTTTAAAGGCATAGCTTGAAACATTCTGACGTTTTTTCATGTTGTTTGCAAACCATCAAAGACCTGAATAGAACTTGCTGAGAATAATAATCGTATTATTTGTATGCTGTGAAAATGAATATTCAGTGAATATAGCACTATTAGTAACTTACAGATACAGTCATCACCTATATGATGTCGCTCCCTGATTACAAAATATTGGCTTAATTTTTCACTTGACAGTGGTAAACATCCCATTCAAATTAACTGAATATGTTTATAGACATATTTAAGACTCAAAAATATTTATTTTAAAAACACATTGCCTGTGGAAATTCAAGGCAAGTAATGCATGAATCAGTACACAAACTACACATTTAAAGTTTACATTAAATCACTTCAAATTTAAGTAAAAATAACTTAAAAGAGAATTATTTGGCTGCAAGTAAAGTTCCCTGAAGATAGTCATCACCTATGAATAATGAGTCTCTCAGATTCCAGCACACAGCATCAAGGAAGCAATTTCATAACCCAATTAACAAAGACTTTTGTATCAAAAGCACAACTGTTAGCTGTACATCAGGCATGTTTCCAGGGGAATATGTATACAGTGCTATGCTACAGCGAATGCTCATCAACTATTTTAGATCTAGGTCCCAACACAGGCAGCGAATGAACTGTCCCCCTTAAAAAGAGAGAAAGGAAAAGGGGTGTAAGCTGTCAGGAGGACAAGTGCTGCCACTCGTCCATCTGCTGTACCAAAAGAAGAAACGCATGAATTCCTGAACCACAAGCCAAAATCCTGTTTGGCCTAAGGGAGTGCTCTGTCTTCAATAGATGTCTTTGCCAATCGGTCTGGACATCACTTCTAAGCTAGATAAAGAACAGAAAAGGCAGTACTCGGAATGGGAGAAGCTTTTTATTGGAAAATACTGCAACAGGAGAGGAAGATGTAGGACTAGGAATTGTTGTCCAGATAAAATAAAAACAAAACAAAACAGATGAAATCATCTTTTCAGTAGCCCTTGAACCTCAACAGTATTATCTGCTATTAAGAAAAGTTGCTTCTGCATAAATATATTATGAATATTACATTATTTGTTATTTTATTTATTACAAATATTAAATATTTTATGATTTTTTTTCTTCCACCTCCAAACTTACTTGAGTTGTATCTCCATAGGCATATTTTACTCATCTCAATAAACACAGAAAAATACAAGACCATGATATTTTACTAAAGGACTACTTTCTAAGAATTAAAACATTCTTAAAAAATGAAATAGTAAAACTGTATGCAGAGATGCTTTAACTCTACAGGGTTTTTGTGCTTTAATCATTAGGGAAAAAAATAAATCATGTTTTCTGCAAGTGCAAGGAAAGCTCCTGATCATTATTCACCAAGCCCAAGAAACACTAGAGCTGAAGTATGATGGCATAGTCCACGTATTGTGTCTCTTTGCTAGCTAGTATTAGCAAAAATGCAGATCTTGCAGTTAAAAGTGTACCACTCACCCATCAAGGGGGCATCAGGTGATTCTTAATAATCATGAGGTTGACAAAATAGGGAGCAGATGGCAAAAAAAAATAAATCACAGAGCCAAATGAATGAATCAAATATTGATTACAAGAACTGAAGATGCCAGACCTCATTCTACTTATCTCTGTAAGCAACTTTACCACACACACACACAAAAATGGTTCTGGAAGCCCAAGATTTCTGATGTGGTTAAGAGTACAGTGTTGCTATAGCTACTACAGATTTTGATTTGCAATACATTCCACCTAGCTACAAAAGAATTCTTCACTCTGTTGTAATCTAACAGGCGATTTATCTAAAGAGTATGTGCGCATGCAGAAGAATGAGAAAGGACAAAGCTACAAAAACAGTTTCAGTACTGCTTCTCTGATGTATTTCCTTGAACCTTGGTTCCTGTAAAACAGTATTGCTCAATTGTATAGTAATTTACAGTAATTTTTATGTGACAGTTGACTTTGTAAGTTTCAAAAGTTTACAACCCCCCTCCCTCAGGTTAATGAAACTATTATCAATCTTTCTAGAATTAGACTAAATATTTTATTTCTGCTCCAAAAATAAAGTCAAGCCGTCTTCAAGTTGGAAGAGAGCCTCATGGCACAGTAAATGACAGAAACTGACCTTAAAATTGTAGGATTTGTTCTGTTGCCCTCAGAGATCTAGTTTGCAAAAACACACACTGCTTTTATGTCTTTTGCTCTTGGTTTTTTTTTGTTTTTTTTTTTTTTTGTTTTTGTTTTTGTTTTTTTCCAAACTATTATTTGCTGTCTGCATAGGTCTTAAAAAATAATCAGCAATACAATGCCTTGCTTCCTTTCACACTTTCATCAAGGATTTTGGCAAAATCAAAGCTTCACAAGAACAACAAAGGAAAAATTTGTTAAATTATAACTACATGATAACATATTTTATTCTTCTAAGAAAATTTCAAGCACAGTAGGTTTTCTTCTCACAAACTTCTAAATTCATAGTAATTGTGAAACCCATATAAGAGGTTAGTGATTTTTAAGGGGAAAAAAAAAATCTCAGTTTTAATCACCTCATGCTTGTTTTATACATATCTGTCACTGTTTTAAATTTATTTTTGACTTTTGTACCAGTAAAATAATTCTCCCCCATAAGAGAGCTCTTTTCATTCCAAAGAATATTAAAGAATATTAAATTTCTGAGAGCTTCAGTGATGCTTGGTAGTAGGTAAGTGATATCCATACCTTCATACATCAAACTATTCATATCTTTATGTATCGATTTATCTTCATATACATATATATTCATACACACACACATATATATATATTTTTTGCCAAGTCTTCAGGTTTTGGAACACTCCTGAGAAATAGGAGTGAAGTTTTGTGACCAAAACTTTTTTTTTTTTTGATAGAAATTTTACCACTGTATTACACCATCATCATCCTTAGAAATCTCATACAATATTAGATTACAGCATCCTACTGTCAGTAACAAGGTTTGGTTATGATGGGTGAGGTTAGAAAACTGAGCATATGGTTAGATAGAATTACAGGCTTGAGATACGTATAGGGATTTTGATCACATGAACAAGTTAACAAAACACTCTGTCCTTCTTTTTGATTACCTATCACTTATTCCTTATTTCACTCATCATACCGTGTTTTTAAAATACTGGAGATAATGGTTAAACTGTTGCTTATTCTGCGAGGAATTTATACATAAATTCTTACTAGTAAATCTCAGGGAGAGAAAAATGGGTTTTACTGTTATCTGCCCATGGATGACAGCAGGCACAATGGCTCTGCCCCGCGTAGGCTCAAACTGATTACAGGACCTCATTAACAGAACCCAGAGTCGTTCCAAAAAGAGTAGGAAGAGACACACATTTAAGTGGAAAAATTATACACGTTGTTCTGCAGGGGTGTATAAACTAACACTTTATACTCTCACTACTGAAAATCCCTAATCAGTATCATAACTGCAGAAATCTTTATAACAATGACAATTCTGGCTTTGTTAGAAAGATGAAACAACTGCTAACATCCCTTTTTGACTTGCTAGCAAAGACACTACATTGTGAAAGATTTTGATGTAGCACTATCAAGTGAAGCATGTTTCTGGCATTATAAGATCAGAATATGCTATCCTACTGAGACAGAGTTTCAGAAAGGCTGGCATTGTGACCTCCTCACCTGCTGTTTCATTTCAGCATAGACTTTTTCTGAGTTCAGCTCCACCTGCCGCTTAAACTCCTCCAGGGCAGCATCTGCCTGCTGGGCCTGCAGCCTCTGTACCTCTGTCACCCGAGTCAGCTGCTCCTCCTTCTCCCTAGAAAGTCACAGAAAATTTTCAGAGTTCAAGTATCAAATAAAAGAACAAGTGTGCTAGTGTAAAAGAAAGGCCTTTAACCCTATCAGTTTAAAATAGTATTCAGATTTCAATTTCCTGTCCCAGCTTCTGCCAAACTTCCCTTAGCAATACTTTGAAGAAGGGAATAGAAGTCTAGAGTTATTTTCACTTTCTCCTGTCGAATTTCACAAGCCTAAACATAGCGTTCATAGCCTATGACAATACCTCTGGCTTCAAAGTCTGCATTGACGTGAATGGTTCACCACTTGGTCTACAACCTCCTTCTTTTAAATCTCAGCCTAAGAAGTGCATTGTCCCACTAACATTTAAGTGAATTGCTTTTAGCATCATTGTATTCTTCTATTAAAACCACAAAACACTTATCCCAGTGCCACCTTTGCTCAGACAAGATGCAGGATTATTCATTACTTGGCATATATCAAAACACAATAGTGTTAATGTGTGACACGTGGTACCTTCTGAATCTATCAGCAATCCACAATGCTGCAATACCTATTCAGCCTTCAAAGTAATGACAAATGTTAATTTTTTTTTTTGTAGAGATAGTTCATATTAACAGCCCATATTATTTGGCATATCAATGTCAAAACATACATAGAAATTTGTTCTGGCATCCTAAGACACCACAGCTTATCAATAGTAATGCACATATAACATTTTATGTACATACATGCACACAGATACACACCCCTAAAAAAGACGTTACCATACTGACGCATCACAGAAGAACATTCTGATAACACATAAATATTTTGGAAATATTGATGCAGTTCTTCACATAGAAGACAATCGGGAAGCATTGTTAACTTTCTGTTATGCGTTTGTTTTCACAGGGCAGCAGAGTTGCCCAACTGTGTCAAAACACACGCGAACACCATGGTGCTATCAATGGACAAAGCTGGCTCTACCAAGGGTTTATAACAGAAGACACATTCAGACAGACCTGTGGCTGACATTTTCATTTTACAGGCAGAGGAAGTACCTCATGATAAATTTCCCATTTTGACAGAAATTATTTCCATATAAAACAAAGAATCTGACACACAAGAGATGGAAAAGACCAACTAATTCATCTAGTCTGTCACCTTGCCAGCACTGAACTAGCTGTTACAGCACTGAGCAAGCCTTTTATAAAGGTCAGGAAGCTGCCAATCCCAAAGTTACAGTATTCACATCCTCTTCCGTGGTTTTCATACCAGACTTTGACAATGGGACAAAGAACATAATCCTACATCTTCACAAAGTGTCCATTTGCTGTGCAGGAGAGCAGGGTAATTCTATTAGTAAAGAGATCAAAGAAATGCCACAAGTCCTGAATAAGTATCTTACTGTTTACTTTTTTTTCATTATGCACATTTGAAAAAAATATTTTGGTACCTTGTTTACAGATGGCAGAATTCAGACATGAGGAGACTGATATTTTCATTAAGAAAAAGGAAAATAACTTTTTTTTTTACTCGGCATAAATTAGACAAAAAACATGTATCACGTTTTGGTTCAGGTGTTTTGCGTGTGCGTTCATAGAGGAGTGTGTTTTCTAAAAACTTTATTCAAATCTGTTAGAAGCATCCATCAGCTTTACACAAATACACTGTATTTTGACTGCCACAACAATTGCATTTGCTAAACTCCCTTCAGGAGAAAGAACTCTGCATATCCTCCATTAATTTACGGGAAAATAAGAATTATGCAGGAAAATAAAACTTTTTTTTGGTCTAAATTCAACTGTTATAGAGGCCATTTAGGACCTAAACTTCTACTACAGAGGATCTAAAAAGCCATAACCACAAGTACAAAAATCCTCAGCCATTTCTCAGAACGTGCACACGAAGGATGCCTCAAAAGCTAACCACGATACGAATCATTTGATGAGTTACTGATGCATCAACTGTAGCTGCAGAGGCATTGGGCTTAATTATCCCCCTGAAATGCAAGTACTAGAGACAAAGTTCTGTGTTCAGCAGCTCCAAGTTAACAACTGCTTGATACTGAAGTACAGCGAGCACGTCATTCCCTTCTCCCATAATAAAATGTACCAACAATTCACAGAAACAAATAATAAGCAAATGAACAATCTTCTGAGCCCTAGACACAGCTCAACATCCTGAAAGAGAAGATGGGAGCAGGGCAGCAGCGTGGTGCAGCGGCAGAGCATTGCCTTAGAGGAAACACTGAGAGGGGAAAACTCTTCTCCCAAAGATCCTTAATTAATTTATGGGCGCTGGAAAACACTTCTTCCTCCCCACAAAATGCATCTAAATACTTCCAACTCCATGCTGGAAACAAAACCAAAAACCAAAGCTTATTCAAATACTGATAAGTGTCAAGAGGCACTGGAAGAACATCTTTGGTCTAGGCAGATGGAAACAACAAATCTGAACATAAAAGGACAAGATGTCAGTCCTTGTGCTGTTAGTGAGCCTCCAAATTTATGCATCTTCTTCCGCAGGAATATATTTTTATTTTGAAATATTACAAGGTAAACTTTTCGGAATCAGGTTTTATGCACCATCCTTTCATTTAAGGACTTAATCCCATGAATAGATGTAACATCTCATTATAAGTAGGAATAAAACAACTTTTTTTTTTTTTTTTTTTTTAAGGATGTGGGAGCTAGCTGTCTACTTTTTGTGCATTTAAGATTTGAACAGAAGCTTAGAAAACATGCACAACAATGGACTGTGGTTCACAAATATAAGAAAAGCTTCACTTTTTTTTCCCCAAGACACTGAGCAATGTGCCTAGCATGAAGCACTAAAATATTCACTTTGAAGATTATTTTTTTTCAGTTGGACTAGTTGTGGGGCCGAATACAATACAATTACATCACTTAAATCCCCTAAAGCTGAGCTGGATTGAATATAAAAATAGGGTGAATTTACTCTTTGGCCCCAATTTAAAAAGCAGCAAATTCCTCTTGTTTCAGTGTATAAAGGATATGTCCATGGAATTAGCAATCTTACACAGCACAAACCATCTCAGTGAAAGTTTACTATGAAGTCCGAAATTGCAATTTCAGAAAGCAGCACTCTGAAGTGTACTGATAAATGGAAAATACAAACATCTTAAATACTTCTTCATGCTTAATCATAAATATTTTCCTTGCTTCGTAAAATGTCTTCCAAGAGGTAACAACTAAAACACAGTCAGACGCTGCAGCATTGCGAGTCAGGTTAATGAAACACAGGGCAATCCAGTGATTTACATGGGGTTAAATAAATTCAAGATGTTCCAGCAAACATAGTATGAGCCAGCAATACTACTCAGGGAGCTCTTGAGGCCAAAAGGTTCTCACCAGTCCCTACACAACAGGGAGAGCTGACCAACACCAAACAAGAGCAGGACATGTGCCTCATTCACACCATCTTCAACAAATGAAAAGTATTTTAGACTGCATGTATACACGTGTACAGAAGGCACATCCCCATGAGCTACACATGGACAAGCTCCGTAGACAGTTTCACATCCCATTAGCAAATCTGCATGCAAACACCCTGGGCATAGCTTAGAGGCTTCTTGGTGATAGGAAAAATTGCTAGATCATGAGAATCTTGGCATTTATTTTAAATAATACCATATTTCATATGGTATTATCATATTTAATTTTCATTTTTAATATTCTGGCAGAAGTGAAAACCTGCTTGTGTCCAAGCATACCTTTGTTTTTTTGAGTTTAGCAGAGCGCAAAAGGGGACTGTGCAATTTCATTGATAAGGATGCATTTTACCAATGAATAAGCTTCCAAAACTCAGTGGCGTGTATAGCAAACAATAGGAAACACCAATTATTAAAATGGTGAAATTCAGTTTAGAAGCTACAGTGCTTTCCAGAAAACAGCGAGCACATTGCTCTGTAAATTGCATCATGCCTGCTATGGCAGTGTCCTGAGGTTAGATTCAGATGACAAGAGGAACAGTCTTCATCTCTTGCACAAAACTATCACAGGTTGGTGTGACCCCGCGTTCATGCCTTCAGATAGAAACAAATGGTACTTCACTGTTTCCCATTACTTTTGATTAAAATGATTGGGAATTAGATAGGCAACATCTAATTTGTGATCAAAACTAATAATTAAAAAAATAAAATTTAAGGGCTTTCTTTTTACACTAACCTGTGTTCAAACAAAGTCAGTTATCATTTGTATAGTCCATTTAGGTTATAAAATCTATGTAAACATGTTCCTAAAGATGATGACAACTTCCTGGACAACATAAAACACAGCATACTAAGAGCTATAAGGAACCTTCATCAAAACATACACAACCTTCCTATACAACAGAAAAATTTGGGACATCCATCTTAGTATCTTTACAAACAGAAGAGTACCATCCAGAATCTAGACACGTTTCCAGACACATCATCATATAGAACTGAACTCCGGATCCTGCTGCCTGACCTCGGAGAGCCTTGCATGGAGGCGCCCTCTTACCAGCCTCCCCATTGATGCAGCAGTTTATCGATTGACAGCCAAATGCAAGATTCATGACACTACTACACAGCTGGTGGGATAACCATCAAGAAGAACACTCTGCACAACAGCCCCTCTAATTTTGTTTTTAGAACAGACAATTTCAACTACATAAACACCACACTAAGGCCTGAAGTACCATGTACTTGGATAAAGCAAGGGTTGCTGGTTTAGTTTACTGCTACAGAAAAATGGTTCAGTAGCAGTAACAACCCTCTGAAATGCACCGTTTTACTTCTCATCCTCCACTGTTTGTAACATGCAGTGATAATTAACTAACAGTTTTCTGTGTAAATTATAGATAGGGCCTAAGACGTTAACTACAGCTAAGGTGGATGCATCTTACTACGGAGGCAGTGATTACCAGCAAACAATGAGGAATAACAATGCTCTCCTACAGCAAGAGCGCCCAAACATATGGAATATGTGCATAACACTTCTTTTTGGTGTGGAGAGGAAGAAAGACAGTGTGAAGTCATTCAAGCGGAAT